CTTTGAGGCCCTTTAGGAAGGCAGCTCATATAGGTTTAAAGTTTACTCTGGCCCATCCCTCATTTCAGTGTGGGATTCTAGCCATTCTGTATGATGAAGTGAGGTATCATCTTGGAAGTTAACATTTTCCTTACCAGAAAATGTATTTGTGCTAGATACTCACTTCAACACACCCTTCCACATGTCCTCCCCACTTCTGGGGCACTTTATTCTTGTCTTGTCTAAAAATTAATTTATTTCAAGTGCAAGTGTGATTGACTGTGCAAGGATGTTGTATTGTCCTCCTATTGGTGGAGGACTATCTTTACATGATGACATCATCATACACTAGCACAATTGACACTAAACATGCAATTTTTAGGTGGGAATTAATTCAAGGCTAGTGGTATGCAAATCTCATAAGCAGATGCATGAGGGTTCAAGCTATTCTGTGTAGGAGGTGCTTACTTATCAGAAATATATTTTCAGGTAAGGAAAATATTGACATTTCAAATAACATTTCAAAATTATACATTTAAAAGTATATTCTAACATGAAAACAAGGTGTATTGCTTTATTTTTATCTAAAGTGAATCCAATAATTAATGCATGGTAAATCTTATTCACTTTTCCTTTGTATTTTCTGTAATAATGTATTGTACTAAAGATATATTGATCATATAGTTGCAATTACTCATTGTTTGTGACCATGGATATTGATCACCTGTGTATCTGTATTTCCATAATTATTTGTAATTCTGTATGCATGTGTGCATAAAGGGGTAATTTCAGTAGATATGAACTGGCACTGAGTACTAGAGCTGGACAATGTAATTGATCACTTATGATCAGTGATTACTTTGATTAGTGTCAGAAAATTAGTCAATTAATTGAAATTCTGATTAAGCCTATTAACCCTTTTGAGATGGGTCACAGGTAAAAGGCCATGTCATCTCATTTGTTGACTCATTCAAAATTTTATTGAAATACTATTTCATGAATTTATGTCAATAAGTTTGGTATCAAAATGTAGATTATAATTCAAATTTTAGAATTATACATTATTCAATTTGTTAATTTAAAAGTAAATATTAAAAACACAGATAAACATCAATTTTTGTGTGTAATGTAGTATGTTGAATGCAGCACTGGTTCAAATTAGGTGTTTATGAAGTCAAAATACTAAGTCTATAGTTTCATACGAATTATAAACTCAAATTACGGATATTGAAAAGCTAGAGTATAAAATAAGAAGGTCTTATCTTTTCTATTTTGTAAGATATTGCTCACGTAATAAATCAAACATAGTGGCACCCCGCTCACCTCCTTCCAATTTTGGAAATGCTCCCTTATATAGACTTACTTCTATATCTGACATGAATAACCAATCAGAAGCTCAGAATGTAGACTTTTCAGCCTTTCTTACGTACCTAGTGCCAATTCTTTCTTTTGATTCAAGATTTCAATGAGGTAGGTTGTGTCTTTTTTTTAGACCCAAATACAGCTTAGTTACTAAGTTTGATAAATTATAGTGAAATTCTATGGTACTGATGTAGTAATTTATGATTTTTTAGTTATTCAAAAGTATATGTAAAACTTAAAAAAATATTTTGTTTCATATCCTCCATGTGCAAAATTTTTAAAGGCTTATCAACCTACATAAAACAGCAACCGAGTACAGAGGTTGTAACTAGAAGAATAATTATTGGCTTTACTTCTTTATTTACTGTTCTATGTTTTAAGAAAAATAAGTTTAAGAATTATTTCTAAATAGCAATAATCTATATACATATATATTGTTGCGTCATCGAGGTCACGTGACTGGTGTGGCGCCACCTATTTTCTAGAACTATCCTGTACCTTGGCGAATGCTCTAGTATTTACTAGATATAGGGTAGTCTGGTATATATATAAGAGGGTGAAGTTACTGAAAAATCAATTAACAAACGGAGACGTAACAAATTGGTGTCAGAGAGTGGGATAGAAAAAAAAAAAAGAAGAAAAATGGAAACGAGAGGCGGAAAATCAAACTACAGTTTAGCAGACTTGATGGCAGCAATACAAAAACAAGAAAAGAAACAAGAAGAACGAGAAGAGAAATTACAACAGTTGTTAGAGGAAAAGGAAAAGAAACAAGAAGAGAGACAACAGCAGTTGCAAGAAAACCTGCAACAGTGGCAGCTCGAACAGCAAAATAAACAAGAGAAATTACGGCAGTTGTTGGAGGAAAAAGAAAAGAAACAAGAAGAATGAGAAATTAAACAAGAAGAGAAATTACGGCAGTTGTTAGAGGAAAAAGAAAAGAAACAAGAAGAATGAGAAATTAAACAAGAAGAGAAATTACGGCAGTTGTTAGAGGAAAAAGA